GCCAAATCAGGATGCGTTGGAGGAAGAGATTGTTTCGTGATTTCTAGGCCTTTCTCGTAGTACTCGAGTGCTTTGGAGTACTCTCCCATGTCCGAATATACTCCACCGATGTTGCTGTAACTGGTAGCCAAATTGGGATGCGTTGGAGGGAGAGATTTCTCATAGATCTTGTGTGCTTTCTCATAGTACTCGAGTGCTATGGGGTACTCTCCCATGTCCGAATACACTCTCCCGAGTTGATGATTTAAAAATGAAAACTGAGACAAATCGTCGTCAGATGTATTCTGGAGTAGCCGTTGATATAGAGCTTCAGCTTTCACTGGATCACCAGATCGAATCAGTAACTTGCCTAGTCGGTGCCATCCAGTGCTGCCGGAAATGTCTGCCCTGATGGTCTGAATAAGATTGGTAAGCTGTTCGTCGTTGTTTGGGATGAGCATCAGTTCTATCTCAAATAGCGTATGGCTGCTTTGAGGTTGTTTCACAGTACTGATACGAAAGATAGAATTTGTAGAAAAAAGAATTTCTTCTTCTTGCGCGGCATAGAAACCTTCGTCGCCAATGATGACAAATGGCGACGAAGGAATGGATGGATTGATCGTTAGCTTGAAAAGAACAGCGACGTGATCTGGTTTCTTAAGAGCTGTTTGAGCAAAGCGCAACGAAGTGTCACGATTCTTGCTGGTGGAAAGAAAATTATTGAAGGACAAAAGACCGCCAGGAGAGGCGTGCAACTTCGCGAAGTCCGTTTTCAGTAAGCCTTGACCACGATAGACAATAAAATTGTCTGTGAATAAATGTCGCTGTTCTACGTGAAGTTGTTCGATGCGACGATGAAGACCTTGAATGAAAAATCCCATCATAACGATCGTACTTGTATCGAATGTGCGCAAAGCTCGGTTGAGTAGATGATAGATAAAACATTCTCGAGTGTACCACCAGATAGCAGTGTGCTTATAATATTCGCTTTCAAATTCATCGATGATATTTAATTCCTCGCCATTCTCTGGATAAAGTGCACGACATTCATTTGCCAGTTTACTGATCTCATCGTTGTCGTAATCAATTTCTAGAATGCACTCTCTGAACAATGTAGTGTACATGAATGTAGGTTCCAGTTCATCCGAATTTCGAGCATTTGTGATGGAAACTGATGTTGAATCTCGATCGCATAGGCGTGTATGTTGTTGCAGGAGTTCGCAGAGAGTTCGTATATCGGTAAAAACGCCCCTTACCTTCGTCCAGTTTTTAGTCCATTTTTCATGTTTAGATATCTCGCCACAAAATATGTAAATGGAGTCAATTTGCGACATATGGTGAATGCGCGGCACAATATTAATCCCAAGAGATCCAGAGATGATTATGAAAATATTCTCGTCTTGATGCTCGCTGATAAAATTGACACATTCATCGGCATGCGTGTATGTTTCAATTGTATTGACGATTCGTCGTAATCTTGCCAGAGAACGTTCGCGGTCGTCATCCTTTTCATCAATCAAAGAGTCAAGCCAAATGAGACGAAAATTTTGAACAGTTTGCATCCGCACTGGCCTTGGTGGCACTTGTCTTATCAATGTTTGTTCGGTCCCTGAAGAAATAGAGCAACACGTATCAGTGATAAGTGACACGCCGTAAGCACCGCTTAGCACTCAACTAACCGTAGCCTATTATGATCATTTAATCAATGCATTCTTACGATGACTATACAGCAAGTGCGAATTCTACCTGATAAAACAACTTGGAGAATTTATGTGAAGATTGTGCGCTTTTATTCTAATAGATGGTTGTGGGCGAAGAGCGCTGCACTTATTGGCTTCCATTCACACCCACACCTATATTGACTTCTTGGTATGCTATTTTTTTACGTAGTTTTTTCCTATAATGGAGTTTATGTAACTTCAAATAATCAAAATACAAAAACTTTCAGCTGTAAAAAGGTTTTTGGGAGCGTACAGTTTTTGCCTTTTTCTTTCTCGCAGATTCATTCTAGAAAAATATAGCTGAGACAGAGATCGTAATCTACACTATACTCTTTTACATGGAAAAATGTTTGGTTAGTTTTAAGAACGATGGCGTCGGATATGGGTGCCGACCACTTCCTTTTCATATCCACACTCTAAACAATGCCTGCCACTCACACTCTTATCATTAGAACCAGTATGTCTACCAGAGTTTTGCAACGCGAATCCCAAAACAAAAACCTAGATACAACTTTGTTCAACCTATACTCAAGTTTGTATAGTAACTCCCGACAGCCTGCATCTTAACGTACAACTATAATCATTCTTTTTTCATACCCTCATGAGAAGTAGTCGATGATAAATTCTTGATTTTATTTTCAGATGCATGGCTAATCGACTGTTCAGCTGCTGCAGAGTGTTGAGTTGATCCTGTTTTTGCCTGCTTTGATGACGAGGGCTTCGTGGCACTGCTCCCTTTTGAAGTTGCGATCACTTTTTCGTGCTTCTTTTTATTAGTACTGCTACTTGTTGTTGCGTGCTTTAATGACGGCAATGGCGAGCGCTTCGTGGCAGTGCTCCCTTTTGAAGCTGCTACCACTTTTTCGCCCTTCTTATTAGCACTGCTGCTTGTTGCTGCTTGCTTTGACGACGATGACGACAAGAGCTTCGTGGGACTGTTCCCTTTTGAAGCTACTAGCGCTTTTACGCCCTTCTTCTCATTCGTACTACTGCTTGTTGTCGCAAGGTTCTTTTTGTCCATACTGCGTGTTGTAGTCGCTATTTCATAATATGAAAAGAATGCATATTACCTGATGAAAGAAAATGCGCAACTATTTCTATGTAAGTTTTAGTCTTTTAATTTTCCAACTTATCTCTTCCTGTTTTTTTTGTTGTCAATGCTAAGCTTCGTGTTATTTTTCTTCGAATTATTCTGAAGTGTAACAAATTAGGACAGCACAAAATTTTTTTCCACCAGGGTGCACGCGTTGGTGTTGGTGTGGATGCAGGTGTGCGTGTGTGGTGCGGATGCGGATTCATCTCTGATTCACTCACACTCACACTTACTCCACACTTACACCTACCCGACTACTAGAGTATAATATTTGTAATCCTTTGAACGCTATTTGTTTGAAGAAGACACCTATAACTTTTATCGAGCTATCTTCTAGTAGTACTTGTGATATTTCAACGATCATCTGAAGGTCGTACCTATAAGTCTTCTCAGTTGCATCTAGACGTCACGTTGTAGGTTATTATAATGTCCCAGATTCTTGCTGTATGTGTCTCCGATAGCATACAACAAATATTTTTTTCGCTTGGATTTAGTACAGTCTTATGCTTCAGTCTTAACTAAATCGGATAGTATAAGAGAACTGTCTCGAGTACCATGTAACTTTTTATATACTTTCATCTGCATTTTATCTGTTGGATAGAAATTGATCATACCTGATAGAGTTAGTGCGGGAAAGTCCTATTATATTTTCTATTAAGTTAGTTCTTGATTTTGCTAAATAAATATCATGTCGCAGCGGTCTTAAAAGATAAGTCTTTAGTTGGTGATAGGCATAATCAAGATTTAATGAATGAGAAAAATAACATGCACGAGAGAAAGAAGAAATAATACTTTCCGTATAGTATAGTGGTTAAGAGCGTCTACATGCCACTCAATGATTCACTGATTCGACCGTTCGAGTATTTCACTTTTCACATATTTAATGAAGTAGTCAAATATTCATCTGTTCAACCTTTCTGTTACAGTTTCACTCAAAGGTAACTTTAACCATCGAAGTACTCGGTTATTTAACTTTTCGACTTTTCTATTGATCACATTTGCAAAGTTTTAGTGTGATTATTAGAATTTGAAACTAATATAATAGTCTGAAAAATTTTAGTTGTGGTTGTTTATTATGGTTATGAAATTATTCGTTTCACAGTCACGTTACGAGATGTAGTCAAGAGATTATTGTCTTCGGACTCCTTCTTGCGCTAAATTCTAACCTTCACAAGGTACCTAATGTGGTATAATAGATTAATCCTTTTAAACTGATGCTATAAGATCTATGAAGATGAGACTGTTTTGCTCACCCTTAGTATCACGACTAGTCGAAAACTCTACTGAATCGATAAGTACTCAAATTCATCTTTGGTCTTTACATCTATCCACCGAAAGACAAAAAAATAACACGACAATTACTACTTACTACTGAGTTATGAAATAATTTTCTTGTCTTTGTACGAGAGTGACAATAATTTTTCTGAAAAAGAAAATGTAACAATGAGAGGGAAAAATATTTCCCCTAATATTGAGACTATAAGAATGATGATAGACAACTTTTTTCCGGGAAAGAGTGTGAGGAAGAGAACAAATAAATTTTTTTCTGAAAAACACTGTAACAATAAGAGCAAAATATATTCCTTCTGATATCAAGAATATAAGAACGATGATAGACAAGTTTTGTTTTGTGTAAAAGGTTGAACTAAAAAAAATACGCTTTTTTTAGAAAAGAGAGCAAGAAAAAGACGTCTGCTAGTGAGAATGCATGAATGTTGACAAACAGGAGTCTTTTCTCCCAAAGAGTCTGTGAGGATGGAAATAAATAATTTTTTTTTCTGAATGGAGAATGCAGAAATGAGTAAAAAAAAATCTTCCAACAAGGAGAATATAATTATACTGGTGGATAATTTTTTCTCCGGGAAAAAGTGTAACAACACAAACAAAAAACAGTTTTTTCAGGAGGTAGAATGTAAGAACGAGAGTAGGTTGTGTTCACAGAAAAGACCTGCCTGTTTTGCTCATTGCTTACATCGAAAAACACAAGGAATTCTTGCAGGATCTTTGTCAAATTCTCAAGGATACAGAACGGAGATACTAACGAGGTGTCATAGGAAATACGACTTATTTTTTAGATTGATTAGACGTTTCACGTCATACACATTTTGACATTGCCATTAAAAGCTGGATAGAAGACAGTTTAATTTGAAGCGCAATTTGCGTGATTGATTGTGTTACGATAGCTAGGATGTTCATGCAGATGATTTCAACTTATAAGAAATTAAAGACTTGAGATTGGTTAGGTCATTTCTCTATGTTAGATGAGCCGCTTTTTTTGCGTATATGGTCGGTTCTTATGATTCTGTCATATTCAGATAGATCTTAAAAAACTACAAATACGACGTTCAGATAGGCTTTGAAAAACTAAGGGTACTACATCTAGATAGATGGGTGTGGGCGAATACTAGAATATATTACACTCATACGCAAGTATAGTACTGAGTATCCGACCGCTGATTCTTATTTTTTCTTTCCTAATGATATTTGTGAATTATGCACTTGATTAGATTTCTGATTTCTACTTTTCTACTCGTTTTTATAGATCAGTCTTAGCCAAATCAGGAACTAGAAATTTAGTCATAACTGGTAACAGTTTAAATTTTGCCACGTCCTCATTGTAAGAGACATCTTAAATTGAACGTCTGATAATTTCTTTCATCATTCATTTTGTTTGTGATTTATTGGTAAAAAGAAAGGTCGATCCAAATGATGATTGAAAGATACGTGAATTACAATGCTATTGTATTTTTGTACAGAAAAGTATTGAAAATTATTTGATATTTAGTTCATCTATGACATACATTATCTGAATGTTATGATCGATAGTAGTAAATTTTTCTATAATATATTCGTATTCTACTGACTCAAAATTATAGCCAATATTTAGTAAAACACTTCTTATCAATATCCATTACTATAGATCGAATAATTGATTTTGTTTAGGAAAAAGATTATACACGATTTTGAGACTAATTACATATTTAACAAATGACAAGAGTCGGAACTGTTTCATTGAACTATAACTATGTATTCGTTTTAAGAATACATCTTAATTATTACTGATAACAAATACAAGAAATTAGCTTAAAATAGTTTCATAGTTTAAATTATAGTTTTTTAAATATTCCTTTTGATTATATATGAGTTTGTCTTAAAAAAATCATAGTTATTTGAAGATTTTTATTTCAATCTTTTAAAAAACATTGACGAGACCGAGATAGTCAGATTGATTATTCAATTCAAAGTTTATACAAACATGTCTATAATATCTATAGAGTTATTGCAATATCATACAAGACAGAGAACAATAAACTGAACATTAATTAAAGCTGCAAGATTAAGCATTATACAAGATATTAAAAGGTATGATCGTCTTGTAAATCACTGAGTTCAAGAACAGTCGTTTCACTTTGATCATATATGTCACTAAATGGATGTGAAACACCGCTAAGGAGGCCGCTAATCGCTGATCTTTTTATCCACACACCAATAATGACAACTATAATCAACGCAGCCGGTATTCCAGTAGCCAAAGCAATAATCAGTGTCCTTTTGGACGGATCTTTCTTTGTTGTATTTTCTAATGAATCTGTTGTAGTTGATTGTGTTACATTTGATGTGGAATTGGTAATCATCGTAGTAGGTGATGGTTGATTCGTCATAACTGTTGTTGTAGTTGTGAGCATCGTGGTAGTCGTGGTCATGGAAGCCGACGTTGTTGAAGTTGTGCTCGTTGCTGTTATTGTTGTTGTTGTTTGTGTAGAAGTAGATGTTGTGGCAATAGTAGTGGTGACTACAGTAGTAGGTGTTGATGTAGTAGTACTGGTACTAATAGTTGTTGAGGCAGTAGTTGTTGTAGTAGTTGCGGCAGTAGTAGTAGTAATTACAGTAGTAGTTGTAGTTGTAGTTGTTGAAGTAGTGGTAGTTGTCGTTGTTGAAGTAGTAGTACTGGCACTGGTAGTTGTTGAAGTAGTAGTACTGGCACTGGTAGTTGTTGAAGTAGTAGTACTGGCACTGGTAGTTGTTAAGGCAGTAGTAGTTGTTGAGATAGTACCGGTACTGATACTGGTAATTGTGGTAGTTGTTGAGGCAGTAGTTGTTGTAGTAGTTGCGGCAATAGTAGTAGTAATTACAGTAAAAGTTGTAGTTGTTGAAGTAGTCGTAGTTGTAGTTGTTGAAGTAGTCGTAGTTGTAGCTGTTGAAGTAGTAGTACTGTCACTGGTAGTTGTTGTAGTAGCAGATGTAGTTGTTAAGGCAGTAGTAGTTGTTGAAGTAGTACTGGTATTGATACTGGTAATTGTGGTAGTTGTTGAGGCAGTAGTTGTTGTAGTGGTTGAGGTAATAGTAGTTGTAGTTGCTGAAGTAGTAGAAGTTGTAGTTGATGACGTAGTAGTAGTTATGGTAGCAGTTGCAGTAGTAGTGATGGGCTCCTAAAATAAAAAGCGATGGGCATGAAATCAAATTTGATTAATTACTATTATTATGTCTATGTGAAATATTAATTCGGCAGAGATTGTTTTGGATGATCTTCTTCACACTATCTAACACAAGAATATGCCGTACCTATTTATACTGTTAGAGCACAATCTAGTATAAGATATTATAAAATATTATGAAAACAAGATTGACAACTAAGTATACACGATACTCACACAGTTATTTCACACATTATTTTGAATAAAACAAATAATTAATTTATGACTGTTTCATGATACTGCCTACAGAGTCTTTCGGTAGCAATCATATATATATATATATAAATGTTTTATAATAACAAGGTAATAAGAATTTTTATATAAATTCAAAATCTTTATAAGTTTCTATTATAAGTAGTATTTCTACATCAGTCTTCTTCGACAAGACTTCTCATATTTTGGAGTTCAACTCGAAACTACATAATATCCGCTACTAACGCGTATATCCTCATATATATTCCTATCAAAATAACTAAAGTGTTATATTACTGTTGATATACTTGTTATTCCAATTGTTGTCAAATCCATCGAAGCGATCTAAAGATTCATAGATTCCAAGTTTTCACTCCTGTTCAAAAGGTTAGATATTACCATTGATGATGATGACTCCGTAACTGTTGTATCAGTTGTCTGTGCAGTTGATATAGTTTCGGTACTATTACTGTGATGGTAAATGAGATCAAACATTAATAAAAGTAAAAATATGCTTTTGATCTCACTTTGTTGTTATATCCGGCTCAGTCATTGTTGTTATTGAAGTTGTTGTTCCCACTGAAATTGTTGGTGTGCTTTGAGTAGTAGGTTTAGTAGCTAAAACAAAATTTAACTTATATAAATTCATTCTTTAATATCTTCAAACATACGACAATTGTCTTGATGTACTGATATCTCATCAATAGCAATTATAGTAGAAGAACTAGGTGGTCCAAATGTTTTCTCAAAATCAAAGTAGATCTAAACAGTAGCAAACAACAAATATTACACATAAAAAACAATCTATCAGCTAAACATCCTACTTTATCACCAGCTTTTGAAGTATGAAATGATACTTGACGCTTTATCCATCCATTGTATGGACTACGTGTTACAGTATCAATTGTTTCACTATTGTCTTCTGCTTCTTCTTTGCGTACTGTGATGCTTAGGTCTGTTCCTGTTATTTTAGGTAAATAATAATAGTAGATGAGACATTGTTCACCGATACCAGGTGTACCACCTGAAGCAGTATTCAGAGTGAAACTAACTTTGCTTACTGCTGCAAAACCAAAATATCCAAATTTGCCTAAAATACAGTAAAATCATATAGCTTTGAATGTTTTTATAATCTTACCAGCAGAACATTTTGAGGTTGAATCTGTTGATGTTTGACAATAACCCTCATTACAAAAGTACATATCCCAAGTAAAAGAATTGAGTTTATAAGGTAGATTACATGATTGACCATTAGTTGTTGGTTTAGCTAGAAGGTGAGAAAATAAATGTTTGTGAAAGAGATACTAAGTAATTAATCATACGACTGGATGTGACATCAGAAAGAGGTGCAGTAGGTGGTTGTTCACCAGCATTTCCTATTTCCTCACTAATACTCAATCCAAACAATCCTTCTTGCTTAAGACATGAAGTTGTTATTGTATTAGTGTCAAAGTTACATTGGTACAATATTTGTGCATTAGTTATTATTAAACAGGTAGACACTAAATAAAATAAATGAATCGAAATATATAGCAAAGATGTTACTGAAAATCTTACCGAAAAACAGAACATCTATCATATATTTCATTTTTTTATATTTTTAGTAGATATGTGAATATTATTACACTTGCGTTACAGTCCTCTATACTACTAAATTCGTAATATGATAACGGATGTATGTTATCTCTCGTTTAAGAAGATGGGTCAATTCTGTTTAAGGGTCTTAAAACACGAAAGAAAGTTACGTGCATTTGTTGATATAGATAGTTGTTATTTTTATTATTGTGTTGTCAGTTACATTTATTTATGATGTTTTTTGCTTTTCGTTATTTAAATTAAGATCAATGCTGAGTAAAATCAATGCATTGATTATAAGGATAATAAAACATTGAAAGCTCTTAGTTTCTTATTGTTGTGTAAGAATTACAGATATATGATATAAAAAGAGATGAGTATAACAAAGAAAACAATGATGTTGTGACAAGATATAAGACTGAATCAAGCACGATCATAGAAGTTTTACTAGCAGGAATGATATCATGTGCGTTTTTTATTGTTATAAAACTTGATAAAGGAGAAAGAAACATTGAAGATAGTGATGACGATGATGATGATGATGTGTTATGTGAAGTTTTCATGATTGTCGATGTTTTAGAGAACTCGCGTGTTATTATTATAAGTGAGGTCGTAGTTAATAACTGCAGTGCAGTGATTATTTCAGTTGTTGAAATTGTTTAGAAAATATTGATATAGGTGAGAGAAGTTGATTGTTGTTGTGTAGTATCACTTTATGGAATAAAGACATTAAATTCAAACGATATGATTAAGTGTCTAGAAAGAGCCAGGAAACATTTGCTTACATCGTTAATAGGAAATTTGTTATTTTTTTAGACTATTTTATCTGTTGATATCATAACTACATTTTAGTTCGATAATTGACATAAAAAAATGTAACACATAAAAACCTAAACTGTATCGTAGATGATTTATTGTCATACGATATAGTTAAAATGAGAATAAGTTGGAACGAAACTATGAACATATGTGAAACAGTCAGCAATCTTGATACTACCTATAAGTTGTATCATTAGTAGATAGTATTGATGAAATCTATTTGGAAATTATTAGAAGATACTGTTTTAAAACTTATAGTACTAGCTTGATAATAGTTGAGATTAATATTTATATAACATAAGTTCAATGCAAAATGAATATAGGTAAGTCTTCGATAATCGTTGTTAGTAATAAAAATTATTATTAACTGAAAAGGTCTTGAAGTGCTAGCAACAGTTCTTATTGACGATTGAACAATTGCTATGTACGACTATTAGAAGATTTATTTGAAATAAAAATTTAAGAAAGTTAATAAATAACTATGAAAGAGTTCTTGCAAAAGTATAACTTATCTTTTAATGCACATTTAATTATAGTCAACGCATGTATTTTGGTTGGGATATATAGCTAATAGCATCAATGTTGATGAATTCTTTATAAATAATTGAATATATTAGATGAAGAAAAAGATTCATAATAATACAAAATAGTAATCATATAGTATTTTCACTCATCGATTGATATGAAACAGTTATCAGTTAATGTATCATTACTGTTGTAATTTTATATTATTACTATAGAAGAAAAACTTTCTTTTTTTTCTTTGATGATTCATCGTAGTAAAGGTTGTCAGGCATATTTATCAGTACGAAATTATTGTGTATTTACAATAATCTCTGTTTCGCTAACTTTATTTAATGCGTATTCAGTCGCTATTGAAATTTGAACATGACTAACACCGAAAACTCTTCATCTACTGACGAATCGTCGATATCAAAAAAGAAGAAATTATTTTGTGTAACTCGCTATTCATTAGGAAAAACTTTATCGAAAGAATTGTTTATTGAACATGAATTTGCTGATGATGAAACTCGACATCGTCTCATTGAATTACGTACATCCATACAAAATGAAAACAAACATTATTTATTATTAGCATCAGTAGCTTTCATTCTTAATCCACCGATCGGTTATGAGAACTTTTTTCTTATAGTTTTATAAAATTTTATATCTGTTCAGGTTTGATTGCATGTATTTTGGTTTACATGGCTAAAAGACAATCAAAATATATGTTAACAAATTATGAAAATGTTGTTTATGAACGAATTGCTGCTCGATATGCATTCATTTCTTATATTCTAAGTAAAAATATTTTTACTTCATATTAAAAAAAGTTATCATTTCGAATCAATATTGTTATAGGTATATTTTCAATAGGGGTTACAATCAGTATAATTACTATTGTATTACTCTATTTTTTTGTACGTGATCTCAAAATTGTCAATCGAAATGCTTTAAGTAATATTCATTATGAAGATATACTATCATTGAATAATACTGACATTATAAATAATCAGCATGAAGAACAAGATAATATCTCTTTCGAAGAATATCAAATAGAATAAAAAAACAATAGATAATTGAGCTCTTGAATGGCTAATATTAAATCGTTAATATTATTTTATTATTTGATACTTACTTGAAAAATTCATAATTACATAGTTTAATATTATAAAATATTTCAATTAAAGTATTCATATTTCGATGAATATGGTCTATAATAATTTCTTTAATTCTCTATTAAATACTTTTTTGTCTGATATTTGTAGTTAATTGCATTGATTATAATAGTTATTTCCGTCTTCTACGATGCATTTTTTCTCTAAGAAACTAAACAAAAAATTTTCTCAAAATACGATTGAACTAGTAAGACTTTCAAGAATATAAATTAATAATTTCAATATGTGTTGTTATCTTATAAAAGATAGTAAAGGAGACTTATTAAGAAGTGTCTGGATTATTATTTTATTAGTTCTTGTGTTTCTTTATGATATAATACAAGCTTCTGATAGAATTTGTTCAGCAGACTGTTGACGACGTTGTAAATTATATTCATATTCGAGATATTGCATAGGTTCATAATAATTTTTTTGCATCCATGATTGCTTGTAAGTCATAATTTTTTTAACATCTCGTCTTTGTCCAGCAATATGTACTGAACTCACAGTCATTAGTTGATGCCGAACTTGAGTTATTTTATAAAACGCATTACCCGATCCATATCCACACATGTCATCATTTTCAAAAAAATTCGATCTTCAAATTCATCAGGACTCAAAGCTTTGCATAAAAGAAATACACGCCGCCGTTGATATGGTGTAAGCCATCGATAATTTTCATAATCTGTATATTGTTCCATATCATCGTCATCATATTCAATAACTATACAAACACAGTTAAGATAATACATACATTTAGCTATATTATCATCGGGTACTGATGTCCGTCCTCCAATTCGATTAACATTAACACCACCATTAAATTCAAAGTAGCGAGCCATCAGTCGGAATTACTTGGAAATAAAACTTTTAATTCTGTAACTAAATACAGCTTTTATAATTGCTCTTATCAAATAATGACCAAAAATATTTTTTTTCTTCCTAGATAATAATCATAAAACAATTTTGTTTCTCATAAAACTTAATATCATGCTATTATGAAACAAAAACTGTTGTTGAATAATATAACAATTATTCCAACTATCGATTCTTCTTCCTATAGGTGTTGTTTTTAAAAAAAAAGGAATTTCATATATCGGATGTTCTTAAAATGTAAAATAAAACTAAATATCAGCAGCTGTTGTTTATTTCGTTATCATAAGTCTGTAATATTCAAATGTTTGTTAATCTTTCAATAATTTCATTTCATCTACTAACTTGTATCAATAGAAAATAAATATAAACTCAAGGATGAAAATACTAATTGTACACATTTTATATTAGTTAATCTAGGTTAATTTTCTCTTTCTTTCTTTTCATACAAATGTATATAAAGAATTTTACGAAGCCTTAATTGATAAATTAATAACAGACGGAGTGACTTGTTAAGATTGGCACTAATATTAATTATGAATAATTTATATCAATTTTATCTCGAATGAAGGAAAAAAGTAATTCTCTTAATTTTCAGAACAGCCGAAGAAAAAGAAAAAATGATTCATTCTATAATTATTTCCAATGTAATCAACTATATAGATGAAAAATTTCGATGTTCAATTATATTGTATATATTATATTTGTGTTTATTATTTATTTTATTTTTTTCGCATAAATTTACAATAAAAATAAAATTCAACTGAAACAATGTGAATGGGAAATAATATTGTAGATAGAATTCTGTGTACGTCGAAATAAAATAATATAAAAATCAGTAAAATAGAATATGAAATTTACAACAACGAGAAGAAAAACAATAACAATAATTTTAATTATTATTAACGTTTTGAATACAATAAATAGATAAATCAAAAGACCGGTGAACAAGGAAGGAATGAATTTATATTTTCACTGTAGTATTATATGGACGGCGACTAAATCTTGTCTATAAATTATTATTATTATCGATTATTCACGGGTGTTAGATTTCCAGAAGCTGAATCATTACGTGATGATGATGATGATGATGACGTTGGTGTTGGAGTATTATTTGCTGGTGTAAGAAATCTTGTATACATCATTTGAGCAATACGATTTACTTCATTTATATCTGGACGCTGTTCAGGATCTAATACAAGACATTTTGATACAAGAAGACGAAGCTATAAAATAAATGAATTAATGAAGTATATATAAACATTTATTTCCATACTTCAGATGAATAGAAATTAGTTGGTAATGGTGTGTAATCAAGTGCTTCAATTTTTTGACGTAATAATATGAGATTCAAATTTTCACCATAAAATGGAGAACGAAGAGCTGCCATCTAAATAAAAACACGATTTTATAATAGTTTTTGAATTAAAAATTTTACTTCATATAAAATACAACCAAGAGACCATATATCAGATCGAAAATCATAACCAAGATCATGTTCATGAATACGTTCAGGTGACATATAATATCTATTATGTTTTATATTTATTTATTCTTTTCCTTAAAAAATAACTTACGGTGTACCAACCATAGAATGTGCAGATGTTGTTTTTGAACCAAAAAAACGACCTGATTTTATTTAAATTAATAAAAATAAATCGAATTATAAATAAATAAACGAACCTAATCCAAGATCACCAAGTCGAACAATTCCTTCACCACTGACAAAAATATTTGCTGGTTTAATATCTATTATTTAACATATAATTTATATGAAATAAATCATATTCAATTGATTCATACCTCGATGCATAATTCTTTTTGAATGCATATGTTCAAGTCCACTACAAATCTGACTAAAAAATTTCCATATTGTTTTTTCTGGCATTAATTTATTAGTTCGAGTAAAATGTTTAATCATTTTAGCTAAATCACCTGCACTAGCTAATTCCTATTAAGAACAAAAAATATTTTATTATTATTTTAAGAATGTTTTTTTTTCAATACCAAGACAATGTACAAATCATTTTCATCAACAAAATGTGAAATATATTTAATAACATTTGGATGATCTAATTGCTAAATTATAATAAATTTAATTATAGAGAAGAAGAAGAACAAGAAAAAGAAAAGTACCTGAAGTAAACTTATTTCACGTTTACAATCTTCAATAGCTTTAGCATCAGCCATTCGACTTAACTAATTTGATAAAAGAAATTTTTTTTATCTGAAAAAATTATTAACACCTGCTTACTTCAACTTTTTTTAAAGCCACACATACACCATTAAAACGATTTCGTGCAGAATAAACAACAGAAAAATGTCCACGTCCAAGTGTTTTAAGAACTTCAAAATGTTTCAAAGATCCAAATGGATCCGATCCAGTATGAGATGGAAACGGACCGAGAACATTACTTTGAATGCTCATATCTAAAAACGCAAAATAAATCAAACCAAAAATGTAATAATCTTTATATTTTCAATAAGATTATGAAGCAAAAAATATTGAAGTACTATTTGCTGTTGATTTGAATTATTTATAAAAGAGTTTGTCAATAATATTTTTCTCGTTCGCTCAGCTAATATTTGTTTTATTTCTTCGATTATTTTACGAAATATGGGCTCTTGAATATTATATAATAATGAATCATAAACAAATAGTTTAAGGCATAGAAAAATATATCTCACTTGATGGTTTCAAAGAATATTCGGGAAGAAAAATAATTTGTCCTTGATATATATGATGTATTAGTTAGTTCTGAAAAAATATAATGCTATTGAATGATAGTGGTTGAGCTGTTAAGTAGGAAATTGAATCTTTAAATAGATGACGATATTGAAGTTGTAGACGTTAAAATGCTGAATATGATTTTCTAGACATTTTCTTGATAGATTTACAAAAGAAACAAACGGAAGTTAACAAGTAAAAATATATTACGGATAAAGAGAAGGACTTTTAACGAGAAATTCTTTCTCTTCCGTAATTGTTTTCTTTTCTATTTTGATTGAAACTAATCAACGACCTATATTTTGACGAGAAGCAATTTGTTTCCATTTAAGAAGAAACTCCACCTCTAAGTCTGTCAACGAAGACCCATCAGAGGTCGCTTTAGTTTTAATAGTTTTTTCATTATAAAATAATCATAATCAGATCTATCAACTATGTCATACGGAATGATTTAGTTAGTGGGATTCATTAGATTATAACGGCTTTCAATCTATAAATTACTGTCTCCTTATCTTTTAATAATCAGTTAATTTACTGATTTACTAAAAACATAGATGATAATATTTATTACTATATGCAATAAAACACATATGAAGAGTAAAATAATATTCTATGTACAAATAATGAATTAACCTAATAATATCCATGTTATTGCAAAGTATTTATCAGTATATGGAATACCAGGATGTTCTTTTCCACTAACTGGTATGAATTGAAGTTCATCCATATTTTTCCAATCAAAATAAAATATTTGTGAATTATCAAATTGAAGAACGATTGTTTTGGAATATAATTCTTGTTTTAATCGTCGTCCAATAATATTAATATGAAGATTATCAAGCCAAGCAGCAGTTGCTTCAAAAGAAACTAATGAAAATGTATCGATTTCTTTTCGTCTTGAACATATACTCATCGAACTTCCTTTTCCATTAAATGCAACACAAATATGACCATTTGTATATGCATTCTTCCATCCACTAAGAGCATGATTTGTTCTAACCCATTGTTCATGCATATACCATACATTATTCCATATTAAACCTTCATATAATTCTGACAATATTCCTGAATCAGTCCGTTTTTCGATTTCAAATAATTTATCAAATGTAATTAAATGTCTAGTTGGACTTTGAACTATGGATTGTAAAGTTTGAACTTGATTTGTTAGTGTATGAATTTGTTCTTCTAATTGTCGATTTTTATTTACAAGATGAGTTAATACGGATCTTAATTTTTCATAATTACAAGTAGTAAGATGATTATCAAGTTGTTCACGTGGACCAGACCATGGACATTTTATATCAAATGCTGAACAAAAAATCGTTCCTTTCGGACATAATTTAGTAAGATGATCATTAAAATTGCCACGTTGAATTCCATTTTGTCCACATTCCGAACATTTAACTATTAATCGATCAAGAATATTTAATATTAAACGAGTTGAAACTGGTTTTAAATCATTCATCGATAGAATATGACGACAAGAAGGACATGCTGAATAACCTTCGTTTAACCAATGTTCAATACATTTTTGACAATAAGTATGATCACATGGTGTGACTGTTGGATTTATCAATGGTTCTTTACATATTATACATTTATAATTTTCATCAATCAATGATTCATCAACATATTCATACGGAATATTTGACATCTAAAAAAATAAATCCATACAAAAATTATTCAAATATTCATCAATATTCATTCATTTTTATTTAATGGAAAATTGATAAATATAAAGAAGTCAAAAAATGAAAATCAACACAATATGTCGATAAAACTTTCAATGATTTTATTGAGTTTTAACTAATTTTATATATACTTTCAAAAAAAGATATTAGTAATACTTAGTCATACAAAGAAATCTTTTACGTTGCTTCACAACTAAGTAGGAAAAAAAGAACGATTGCAATCGTAATAAACAGATTTGAATAGCAACGACCAAACTCATACTAATACGCAATAGAAGTTTTAATATACATCATAACAATAACGATAAAAGCGAATAGAAATTTCATTTTAATTTCATTGTTTTGAGAATTTATTTTTTGTTTTACTGCACAATTATACCTTTTTTTTTATGTTCTCTACTTCATTTTTTAGACAAACATGCGACATACAAAAAAACATTTGTTATTCTTTTTTTTTATAGTTGCTTGATTACTTATACTAGGCAAATATATATATATTTTAACCGTAAATTCTTGAATACATCATCAAGAATTCGAGTGATACAAAAGAAAAAAACAAAAAGCTTACGACACTCGATATTCCCAGGCGATCACCCATCCAAGTACTAACCGAGCCCGACGTTGCTTAACTTCAGTGATCGGACGAGAACTGGTGTATTCAACGTTTTAATGTTATTCATACAAAACTATAAAATAACTTTTTTTTCTTCTTTGAATGCCTTTCATACATGCATTCTTATCGATTGATTCTTTAACGATAATAAAAATATAAATTAAGAATTTTGAATGAAAATAAATAATTTTTATTTTTGTGAAATGTATTCATTAGTAATATTAAAGAATATATTTTTTTTCTCTTGTCCTAATAACATATAGGTAATATCCAATGAGTAGGTATGTTTTTGTATTATTGCTTTTATTTTGTCTGTTGATTGACAACCATTATATTACATACGTATTATTATTCTTTTTTTTTTTATAATAATATGTTTTTGATTATAATATGATGATTAAGAGGATGACCCTATTAATTCTTCTTAGGTCGAAAGGATACTCTACGAACAATTGATTTACTATAGAAGTACTTACATAGAAAATATTTCTTTTAATAAGTCAATAGATTGAAAACGTGAAAGTATTCTGTATAGTCTCATGAAGGAAATTCATCAAATACCATAAAATATTATTGAAAATTACTTAAATTCAATAGGGTATTTACCGCGAAAAGATGACACAGCTTTATTCACAAAAAATTTCCAATATACACATGACCTCATTTATTCCTATTGTATTATTTTTCATACATATATATATATATATATGAAACGTTTACTATCATTCAACAAGCATAAAATAAAGGTGTATAAATCGTTCTTTCTATCAATTTTATATTTAAGAAACAAGATGGCTAATACAGGTAATTATAAATATAATATGTTCTTAACAAAATACTTATATTCATTTTAATTTGAATTAACACTAAAATATAAAAAAATAAAAAACTTATTTTGCATGTTGTACGATATTCTCATTAGAAGAATGTCTCGTAGAAGTAACATTCGTCCTGAAAAACCTGGCCGAAAGTCGTTAATCGGTCGATCGTTTGCCGATTCTATATAAACATGTTTATTTCTTTCAATCATTCTTTACTCAATTTTTTTTTTCTTAAAGTGCGCTAACATCCACTTTATATGCCTTCAGTTTTCCGTTCACCTTCGGAATTTCTAAAAAAATAATTGCTTTTTTTTAGAAACGAGCACGACAATAACAACAACAACAACAGTGGTAGCAGCAGCAAAAGCAGCAACAGCAGCAATAGCAGAAACAATCGTTAATAAAGTGCTATTAGGAGAAAAATCATCGAACAAACGTCCGGGGTCAGAAACAAAAAGTCTGTTAACTAATGTTAATAATAAGAAGAAAAAAGTAGACGATAATATTCAAAAATCAATTTCAACTGGATTTGATCATCACCATCATCATCAATACAATAATCGAACAAAGTATGTAATAAGACATAACGCATATGTGAAAGAATGTCAAAGAGAAACAGAAGAGTTGTGCTATTAAAAAGATGAAACATTTCTTGTTATACGAGACTCAAATCTAAATAAAAAAAAATGCAGCCGAATCGGTAGAAAAAGGGATTGTTTGCAGTATTTTTTCCAAGAGTTTTCTTTATTATATTTGTGTGTGTGTGTATGTCATTCTTTTTTTGCGTTTTTTTAAAGTGACAACCAACAACAATCTCGGAGAGGACGAGTAAGTTTACTATGCTTTAAACATATCCCCAAAAACCCCTTATTTTCACTGTCTTTTTTTGCACTATATTTATATATCGAATACATATAATTATAAATTATAGAAAGATTAAGATTTTGACAGAATTACCTATGTTAATTATATTAGTCGTCCGAGAAAAAAAAGAATATATATTTAGAACGTCATTCGTCGAAGAATATTGATTTTATTCGATCCCTTGATTTACCTTGTAATCAAATTCTTTACAGGTCATTCTTGACTTTCTCCGATTTCGTTTTTATGATTTTTCTTTCGCGGAAGATTGCATAGACATTGAGAAAAATATTTACTTAGCGTCAGTATCAACTTAATCATCGTATAAAACAATTTTTTTTCTTGTCTTTCAACAATCATGAGTCAAAGAAGCCTTGAAGTTATGCAAATAAATGGTAGAATATTTGCATATTATCGATAATATTCTATTGATTAAATCAGACGAAAAAAAAGGGAAGAGAACTCTTGACGGGTTATATAAACCCAGCAAATTGTCCTTTTTTTTATCGCAGTCGCTTTTAATATTACACTTGACGTTCACATTCACGAACAGTTATCACAGTAACACTATTTGATAAAAAAAGAAGAAGAAACTATGCAAGTCATTCATCGTATCTCGAGCATATCAAACGGATACGCTGATAGTTCAACAGTACATAAGAGAATGAATACTATTACGCAACGGTATAGATCGATTTTATTTATTTCATTGAAATAGTCTATGTAACCTTTTTTTGTCTAGACTCGTAGATATATGTCCACGATCACCATCACCACCACTATCAATACCGTCATCACCATCTATCGATGTTGAAATTGAAAACCTACCTAATTCCTCACAGTCAGCACTACGCACAGATTGTCAATCGTTATCTTCAGATTTAGGAGACATTTCTCAACCATCATTTAGAGAATCAACATCGATCCATAATACTCTACAAGCAAAAACGAGTGAAAGAGTTGTATTAATGACAGGAGCGGAACAATCGAGTGTGGTACAACCACTTTTAACTGATCTCTATCAAATATCAATGGCATATGCATATTGGAAATCAAATAAACATCAAGAAATAGCAACATTTGATTTATATTTTCGAAAAAATCGTAAGTAAATATTATTAAATATTCCATTTTTATTTTATTCTTGTTTTTGTTATTTAGCATTTGGTGGTGAATATACACTATTTGCTGGTCTTGAAGAATGTTTAAAATTTATTCGTGATTATAAATTTCATCCAACAGATATTGAATATCTTCGTGCAACATTATCATCTTATATTGAATCAGAATTTTTTGATTATTTATCACAACTTAATATGAATGAAATCAAAGTCTATGCTGTACCAGAAGGAACTGTTGTCTTTCCTCGTTTACCATTACTACGAATTGAAGGTCCAGTACTTAAAACTCAATTACTTGAAACAACTTTATTAACATTAGTTAATTATGCAAGTTTAGTTGCAACAAATGCTGCTCGTTTTCGTTCAGCAACAGGAGCTGATAAAACATTACTTGAATTTGGTTTACGTCGTGCACAAGGTCCTGATGGTGGTTTAAGTGCATCAAAATATTGTTATTTAGGTGGATTTGATGGTACATCAAATGTTTTAGCTGGTAAACTTTATGGTATTCCAATAAAAGGTACACATGCTCATGCATATGTTAATTCATATGAATGTTTGGAAGATTTAAGCGAAAGAGAATTATGTGATCGTTTAAGTGGTGAGCGTCGTCCATTTACAAATTTATGTTTACAATATTTAAATGAACTTGGTCCAATACTTAAAATTCTTCCTGAAGAAACACATAAAGGAGAATTAGCTGCATTTATTTCCTATGCAATTGCATTTCCAACAAATTTTCTTGCATTAGTTGATACATATGATGTACTTAAATCTGGTGTACCTAATTTTTTAGCTGTTGCACGTGCATTACATGAATGTAATTATCAAGCTGTTGGTTTACGTTTAGATTCCGGTGATTTAGCTTATTTATCCATGAAAGTTCGTGAAAAATTTCATGAAGTTGCAATTAAATTTAATTTATCATATATGGAACATTTTAATATTGTTGCAAGTAATGATATTAATGAAGATACATTAGTATCATTAGAAAAACAAGGACATGCTATTGATTCATTTGGTATTGGTACACATTTAGTTACATGTCAAAAACAACCAGCACTTGGTTGTGTTTATAAATTAGTTGAAGTAAGAATATATATATATATATATTTTATTGAAAAATTTAATTTTCTTTGAATTTGTTTCAGCTTGCAAATTCACCACGTATTAAAGTTAGTCAAGATATTGAAAAAGTAACAATACCTGGTAAAAAAAATCTTTATCGATTTTATGGTCATGATGGTAAAGCATTATGTGATTTATTAACAAGAATTGATGAGCCAGAACCACAAACAGCAACTCGAATGCTTAGTCGACATCCATTTTTAGAACAAAAACGTGCATATGTTACACCAACAACAGTTCGAAATTTATATGTTTTATATTGGGCTGATGGAGAAATAAAAGTTCCATTGCCAACATTAAAAGAAATTCGTACTTATGCACGAGAACAAATTGATCAATTACGAAAAGATCATATACGTGATCTTAATCCAACACCATATAAAGTTTCAGTTACAGATGATTTATTTCAATTTATGCATAAACTTTGGATGAAAAGTGTTCCAATTGGAGAACTTGATTAATCGAAATTATATAAATATATATATACGTATGTGTGTGTGTGTGTGTTGTCTTTCTTCATTATACCTCTTTCACTTGCAATATTTTTCTGATTTTTCCTTTTATTTTATTTTCTCACTTAGTATTGTTTTGTTAAATGTCTCACGCACAAAATTCATAAAAATTTCTCTATACATATATAAATATATATGTATTGTATCACTATTTTTTGTTTTATTTTAAAAAATACTATCATTATTCGAACTATAAAATAAAATTTTTATGAAACAATAGTTTATCAGATGAATTTTACAACAATTACTTAAATATAAGTATGATCATATCTACAAGTGATTTTTGAACAAAAAAAA